GAAGATTCAAACCCTACCACCCTTACATCTGAAAACACAATGTCATTGGCCAGCAAAAAAATAATGAAAAACAAGGCCAGCCAATGGCATGATGGTTAAAGAAGCTGGATCCCACCTGGCTAGCCCAGATTTGAGTCCTAGACCGGCTTGAAAAATAAGCCAGCTGTGTGTGCATGCATTTCCAAAATCTCAAAAGGAGAAATAGAGGAAAAAGGATTGTTGTGTGACCATTCTTTGTGGGGTGTGTTTTCTCAGTCTCTCCACCTTCACTGTCTCTCTTGTGAGCTCATATGCCTTCTGGAAAAAATTGAAACACACACACACAATGGAAAACCACACAAGGGGGACTTTATAAAGTTCATGAAAAAAAATGTATTTTTAAAAATTTGCTAGAGGGCAGGGCTCTAGGTGGCATGATGGTAAGGGCACTGGACTCCCACATTGCTGATCATGGTTCAAATCTGGACCTGGTGGCTTGTTTTTTCACTTTTTTTCTCTCTATCTCCTCTCTCTCTCCCTCTCTGGTCAAATTTAAATAAATAAGTTTAAATAAAATCTTTTTTTTTTTTGAGAGGTTTTTGCTATAAGGCACGAGTGCTCGCCAGACAGACAGAGAAAGACAGAGAGACAGAAAGCGAGAAATCACCCCCCAGGGGGGATGGCCATGCCACAATCCCTTCTCCATTCTCCTCTTGGGATCTTGGGCATGCACATACACGCGCCCGGCATGAGTTTAAGCCACCGGTTCCGGGACTCAAACCGCGGTTGACAACGTGGGAGTCCAGTGACATAGCCATTACGCTAACTGCTGGTCCTAAATTTAAATAAAATCTTTAAAAAAGTTTGCTAGAGGGTGTGTGTGCTAATGCACTTGCTGAAGAGAGATTGAAAACGTGGGAGTCAAGTGACATAGCCATTACGCTAACTGCTGGTCCTAAATTTAAATAAAATCTTTAAAAAAGTTTGCTAGAGGGTGTGTGTGCTAATGCACTTGCTGAAGAGAGACAAAGAGAGGAAGAAGGAAAGTGAGAAAGCACCCTCCCCTCGCCCCCATGGGGGCGGTCACTCCACAGTGCCTTCTACTTCATCTCTTCCTACGTTAACTGTCCTGGGCACACACACAAATGTGCCTGGCCTACCTTTCAAGTCACAGGGTCAGAGACTTGAACTGACAGGTGGTCGGGTAAGATCCAGCCATCCCAACTACCATGCACTGGTTGGCTCCCAAAATGAAATCAAAGTATGAGTTTATTTTGGTGCAAAAAAAGTTGAAATCCACACAGAGACTTTTCATATTGTACACTTTCTATAACTTTTTGAGGATTCTTCATAAAATTATAACATTAAGTGTACTTTAAACCATAATAAAGTATTTTAGAATTAGGTACTCCAAAGCAAACCATGTTAGATGATAAAAAACTGCATTGTTGGGTGAATTCTATGAGTCACCTTCTTTAATTGTTCAGTAAACGTTGCTTTGGCAGCTTCAGTTGCTGATTTTTCCGCAGCGCTCTTCCATGAGTTTTTGTAATGCAGACTGTGCCTCTTTTAAAACATTTCTGAATATACTCTTCAAGCCTTGATGTGCTACTTCTTTATTTTTTTCCCACTCCTTCTGGAGCATCAGCGAAAGTCTGACCATTGCACAAACTGTTTGCAATGCTTAAGATATTAATTTTCCCTGGCCTGATGTTCAATGGTCATATTGAAGATTGGAATTTAAGCAACATTTCCTTCTGTATTGCACATAGGCCCTCCCATGAGGCCTAGGAGGAGAGAGATGGACATAATATGTCCATGGTCTCTTGTGTAATGAGCCAAACTAAATTGCATATTTATATACACATATTTTGTAAGAGATTGCTTTTTAAAAAATTATTTAATTTTATTTATTTATTTTTTTCATTTGACCAGAGAGAGAGATAAAGGAAAAGTGAGAAAACAACCCTCCAGGTCCAGGACTTGAATCATGGTTGGCCATGTGAGAGTCCAGTGCCTTAACACCATGCCACCTGCCAGCCTCTACACATTGTATTTGTATAAAATATGATAGAAACCTCTACAACAGTCCTATGTAAAAAAGCTTGTTCTGGCATAGCCTCCTGATGGTGGCATGGAGAAATTACCATCTAGAGGTGGATATCTGTAAGAACATTCACCTCCTCAAGTGTAATTAGAATTCAGCCAGGATTTGTTCCTTCATTTTTTTTATTCGTCATTGTTTATATTCATGCCTGCATATGGTAAGCAATGGAATAGGCATTTGGGGTTCTGGCCAGTGGATCATACAACCAAAAATCCCTACACAAATATATGTATTCATTAGGTAAACTGTCCAACTCTAATGGCAAAGTTATGGAGTTGAGGCTAAGCCGGAGTTTCCAACTCCCTTTGCAAGTACAAATTGTGAGTCCAGCACATTTGCCTGAGTCAACAGGTGAGAGCCGGAGTGGCGATAACTCCTCAAAATCCAAGCCTCGTCTTTTTCCTTAGAGGCACAAATCTTCATCACAGCTGTACCCCATGCCTCAGACAGAACAGAGAAAGGGTGGCAGATGGCTCTTACTGTTCAGAGCAGTGACCCTGACCACTAGCACAAGTGAAGGAGTTATTCCCTCACCAAAGACAAAGACTTGAGGACGACGCCTATTCCAAGTCACTCTGCTCCTTGTAAAGGAAGGTCGCTGGACCCAAGCAGTACAAGGAGAGAGTTTAAAATTCCCTCTCCCTGTCTAACAGCAATCCCTCACTCAGGAATGCTGGGGGCGGGGGGTAAATAAAAGACTTAAAATACCTTGTATTGGTAGCATGTGCCTTGCATGCAACCAGGGTCTAATGAGTAATGGCAGGCTCTCTTCTCCCTCCATGCTCTGATAGCTTACAAGCTTCTTGGGGGAAAGTGCCAGGCCTGAATAGTCTTTGCAGTGTGTTTGTTGGATGGAACCAATCAGTTTCACTTTTTGAAAATTCAACATGCTTAGCCCTGAGCTTACTTAGTTTAAAAGAAGTATAGAATTACAGAAGTTTTCAGATGAAAAGAACTTTGTGATCATAACCTGATTCCCTGGGTTTAGGGTGGAAGAAATTAGGATAAAATGAGTTAAGAGCGTGGAAATTCAGGCTTTCACTACAGCACGTTTCATGAGACCGCTTCAAAGGCAGCGTCCCGATGTCACCTATGTCCCCACACCACACACCCACTGCCTGGAATGTTGTTGGCTCTTAGATAATATTTGTTAAGTAAATTAGCTCATCGTACCCCTTTAATTGGCCTTTGGCAATTGTAGGATAGCTTGTGGCTTTGCAAGACTAAGATGGACAGACAGTTTGTGACTTGACCTTCTTCTATGGACCACATATAGGGCCTTGGGGTTTGATTCCTTCATGGAATACGTGAAGACAAAGGTAAATTGTTTTAGCATATTTTACAATGTGTGCAGTAAATGGTGATGCCTCACTTACATGTTGTATTTTTATTTAAGGTGGAAGAAGTGATCACAGTTGGCCGGCGAACATTCAAGTCTGTGAAAACTACCTTGGACAGCAGCAGAGAAGAAGCAAATCAGAGGTACCTGGTCCCGACTCCCCTCAGCTTCTTATAACAAATAGCTCTCTTCACTGCCATTTGTTAGAATGCAGCTTCCAAAATGATAAAATGATTTAAAAGTTTAAAAATGATTCTTATGATGCATGTTAACATTTGTTCCCAAACCTTAGACTCTTGCTTCATAAGATGCTTGATTCCTAACAACATATCTGTGCACACACAGGTTTTACTTTCTTGTGCTCTGATAAGACTGATGATGTCAACGCCATGACTGCTAACAACTACTGGGCACTAGCATTATCCTTTGTGCTTTGCCCATATGTACACATTTTAATCCTCACAATTTTATTTTTGTAGAAGTTTTTGCCTTAGGATGCATGTACTCTCCAGAGAAAGAGAGAGACAGAGACAAAGAGACAGAAAGTGAGAAGTCACCTCCTGGGGGGATGACCACGCCATAATCCCTTCTCCTCCACTTTCCCAGGATCTTGGGCATGCACGCATGTGTGCCTGGCATGAGTTTCAAGCCACCAGGTCCAGGACTCAAATTGTGGTGAACCGTGTGGGAGTCCATTGTCAATAACTGCTCGCCATCTGCTGGCCCCAATCCTCACCATTTTTTGGCCTCAAGTTTCTCGATGCTGAAAGTGAGGGAAAGAGAAATTTAGAGCACCCCAAAGGCCATGTGGCAGTGATGCCCTGGGACAACCCTGATGAGCCCTGCCTGTGCCCTTGCTCCTGATGATGTTTCCCCTCCTGATGCTCCTGTCACTCCATAGACTCCTCGGCGCTCAGGCCCAGGTGCCTCCATCACATGCCCTCCTGTCAATCTCCTTATTTTAGATCATCTTCCAGCCTCTGGTTAAGTTCATTTCCCAACAGAATGCTCACCCGCTTCAGAGAATATTCACCCCATTGTAAGTCTTCCCCCAATTTCACAAACCTTTCCCCGACTCCTAAATGAAGATCCTAGCTCTGTCCCCCAGAGACCCTCATACCAAAGCCAGTTTCCCTTAAGCAGGGCAACCCCTTAAAGTACTTTTTTCACAGCTCTGCTATCTCTCAGTCCTTCTCTAGATTGAGATCCTACTTCTTTCAGCTATCTTTCTACTTCTCAAGATTTCCAGATACGTACCGTCCAGATGGTTAAATCTATTTTGAACTAAAGTAAAATATCTCTGTGATACAAATGTATATGCTAGAATTATCATCATAAAAATACCTGAACAAGAGCTATAAGTATGTCTTGTATAATAAAGCAGTAAGCATTCATATATTCAGATATAACTGTTGAAGTTTTACAGAGATTTTTAAACATGGGGTTTGTTTGAACAACAGGTACAGAATTGAATTCCAACTGAAAAGAGAGTTGCTGTTTTTAACCTTAGAAATCCACTTTCATATTTCCCAGTTTAGTGATTTCCATTGCAGATACAAGATTCAAGAGTAATACAACTATTATGAATATGCATGGTCTTAATTAACCCCCAGCAGTATCAACACACCAAGAGTCTGAATGTAATTCGTGAGGAATTGGAGAGATAGGAAGCCGAATCATTGCACATATTTTAGGCTTGGTGTTCAGACCCCAGGAAAACTATCATTAACTTGGGGATCTGAGACCTCTTAGTATTTTTCCTCATAGTAGTCTCTCCAGTAGCATTTCGGAAATTCTTTCTTTTCCATTTTGATTACTGAAAAGGAGCAGCTCACGCCACACACAGAATGTCTGTTTGTGCTGCTTCTGAATCATTAACTAATCGTGTACACACTTTATCTCAGCTTCTGGCTGGCAACCCCACTATCCAAAAACCCACTCATTAAGATTTACATGGGGAGGTGAGGGAGCTGGCAGGTGGCGTGGTGGTTAAGGGCGCTGAACTCCCAATGGCTAACCGGGGTTTGAGTCCCAGACCTGGCAGTTAGGTTTCTCTCTTCCTCTCTCTCTTGCTCGCTCACTCACTCTCATTCTCCCTCTGTCCCTCTCTGGTCAAATTAAAATAAATAAATAAATAGATGTCAAATAAGATAATTCTTTAAAAAAATATTGCTCATGTGGTCTGTGATCTGCATGGTTGTTGGCTTGAGGGAAAGAAGGCTGGCAGATGCAGCAGCATGCTGGGAGGACTGGAGGACATAGCCAGAGAGGCCTCTGTCTCATGCTGTGGAGGCAGAGGGAGTGGAGAAGAAGGGAAAATAAGGTGGGATTTTTTTCACGAGGACTAGAGAGAAGTACCCAGTAAGCCCTAGTGGGTGACTCTGTGACCTGGAAGACACACCACACTCAGAAATGAAAATATTTATTGAATGTTACTGGGTTACATGATCCTCTGCATTATGTAGTTTTGTCTATAAAATAACACTGCAAAGGACTAGCGGGTGGTGTAGTGGTTATGTCATTGGACTCCCACATGGCTGACCGCAGTTTGAGTCTTGGATTTAGTGGCTTGAAGCTCACACCAGTGTATCTGCGTGTGTGCCCAAGGTCCCATGAGGAGACTGAAGAAGGGAGTGTAGCATGGCCATCCCACCCTGGGGGTGGTCTCTCACTTTCCCTCTCACGGTCTCTGTCCCTTTCTCTCTCCAGCGAGCACATACACCCTAAGGTAAAAACCTCTAAAAAAATAAAGATAACACTGCAAGATAAATACAATAATTCTAATTTACTGAGATTTAGAAGAACTAATCCAAAATCACAAGAGCTGATACATGGTGGAACCATAGCTAGAGAACTTTGGGCTTGTCTTACTCTCTTAACGTTGGCTATTCTGGTCCACTCCATTGCTAATCACAGAAATTATCGGAGTGTGAGTAATTTATAAAAACAGAAGTTTATTCAGCTCATGATTTGGGAGATCCAAGTCCAGGGGCCACCTCTGGTGGGAGGCTGGCAGTGTCCCCAAAGTATTATATTGCAAGATCAAGAGCAGAGCAGATTGCCACGAGTCTGCCTGTCTCACTCCCTCTCCTTATAAAGTCACCATAGGGGCTCTGCTTAATGACCTTAATCCCAATCTATGTTCAAAGGCCTCACCTTTCAGTGCCATATCAGATTACATTTTTACCATTAGTATTTTTCCTCATAGTAGTCTCTCCAGTAGCATTTCGGAAATTCTTTCTTTTCCATTTTGATTACTGAAAAGGAGCAGCTCACGCCACACACAGAATGTCTGTTTGTGCTGCTTCTGAATCATTAACTAATCGTGTACACACTTTATCTCAGCTTCTGGCTGGCAACCCCACTATCCAAAAACCCACTCATTAAGATTTACATGGGGAGGTGAGGGAGCTGGCAGGTGGCGTGGTGGTTAAGGGCGCTGAACTCCCAATGGCTAACCGGGGTTTGAGTCCCAGACCTGGCAGTTAGGTTTCTCTCTTCCTCTCTCTCTTGCTCGCTCACTCACTCTCATTCTCCCTCTGTCCCTCTCTGGTCAAATTAAAATAAATAAATAAATAGATGTCAAATAAGATAATTCTTTAAAAAAATATTGCTCATGTGGTCTGTGATCTGCATGGTTGTTGGCTTGAGGGAAAGAAGGCTGGCAGATGCAGCAGCATGCTGGGAGGACTGGAGGACATAGCCAGAGAGGCCTCTGTCTCATGCTGTGGAGGCAGAGGGAGTGGAGAAGAAGGGAAAATAAGGTGGGATTTTTTTCACGAGGACTAGAGAGAAGTACCCAGTAAGCCCTAGTGGGTGACTCTGTGACCTGGAAGACACACCACACTCAGAAATGAAAATATTTATTGAATGTTACTGGGTTACATGATCCTCTGCATTATGTAGTTTTGTCTATAAAATAACACTGCAAAGGACTAGCGGGTGGTGTAGTGGTTATGTCATTGGACTCCCACATGGCTGACCGCAGTTTGAGTCTTGGATTTAGTGGCTTGAAGCTCACACCAGTGTATCTGCGTGTGTGCCCAAGGTCCCATGAGGAGACTGAAGAAGGGAGTGTAGCATGGCCATCCCACCCTGGGGGTGGTCTCTCACTTTCCCTCTCACGGTCTCTGTCCCTTTCTCTCTCCAGCGAGCACATACACCCTAAGGTAAAAACCTCTAAAAAAATAAAGATAACACTGCAAGATAAATACAATAATTCTAATTTACTGAGATTTAGAAGAACTAATCCAAAATCACAAGAGCTGATACATGGTGGAACCATAGCTAGAGAACTTTGGGCTTGTCTTACTCTCTTAACGTTGGCTATTCTGGTCCACTCCATTGCTAATCACAGAAATTATCGGAGTGTGAGTAATTTATAAAAACAGAAGTTTATTCAGCTCATGATTTGGGAGATCCAAGTCCAGGGGCCACCTCTGGTGGGAGGCTGGCAGTGTCCCCAAAGTATTATATTGCAAGATCAAGAGCAGAGCAGATTGCCACGAGTCTGCCTGTCTCACTCCCTCTCCTTATAAAGTCACCATAGGGGCTCTGCTTAATGACCTTAATCCCAATCTATGTTCAAAGGCCTCACCTTTCAGTGCCATATCAGATTACATTTTTACCATCTTTTTTGTTTTGTTTTTAGAGAGATTTTCCTATACAGTGCATTCACTCGCTGGAGAGACAAGAGAGACAGAAAGCAAGAAATCACTCCCCAGAGAGTTGGCTATGCCTCAATCCCTTTTCACCCATTCTCCTCTCAGAATTTTGGGCATACATGCACACACACCTGGTGTGAGTTTCAAGCCACTAGGTCTTGGACTTGAACTGTTGGGGGCCATGTGGGAGTCCAACAATGTAACCATTACACCATCTGCTAGTCCCACATTTTTACCCTCTTAATCCTGTTACAGCCTGTTAAAATATGAACATATGAAATTTTGGAGAACATTCAAAGTGTAGCCGTGGTCTGTATTGAACAGAAGATCTTGATTTTAAAATAATCAAGATTAGAAATATTTAGCAATTAATACTGTCTTTGTCTTTTTCTAGAAATCTTATCCTACACTGAAGTTATAAAACTAGTCCCTAATGGTATAGTTTTGCCATTCATATTTAGGTATAAACTATTCAGAAT